TGCCTGGTTGATAGTTTTTGCTATTACGTGACAGATACATTTAATGGGAAATGGGAGGTGGTAAAGAAACCACCTTTGCCCACTCTGGCTATAATGGTGATTAGCTCTGACATGATGTATGCTCAGAAATGCAAGTCCTACAGTAACAGCACAGCAAAAAGAAGACTTTCTGCAGGATAGCAACGTACTTTTTACTGTGTTCCTTTAAAAATAAAGTGAACCTGGCTGCTCTATTTGTAAACTATTCTACATTATACCAAGAGTCCCAATGTGCATGTGCCAAAAAAAAAAAAAAAAGACCAAAAAAACTGGAAAATAATCCCCACACTTTGGGATGTTGAGGCAGGAGGGCTGCTTAAGGCCAGGAGTTCAAGACCAGCCTGGAAAACATGAGACCCATCTCTTTACAAAACAAAATAAATTAGCCAGGTGTGGGTGGCGCAGACCTGTAGTCCCAGGTATTCCGAAGCTGAGGTGGGAGGATCACTTGACACCAGGAGTTTGAGGTTACAATGAACTAACATCACCACTGCACTCTAGCTTGGGCCACAGGGCAAGACCTAGTCTCTTTTAAAAAAAAAAAAAAAAAGGCTAGGCACGGTGGCTCACACCTGTTATCCCAGCACTTTGGGAAGCCAAGGTGGGAGAATTACTTGAGCCCAGGAGTTCAAGACCAGCCTGGCCAGAATAGTGAGACCTCGTCTCTTTAAAAAACAAACAAACAAAAAGTGCAGCCTGGGCACCATAGGGAGGTCCAGTCTCCACAAAAATTAAAAAAAAGGAAAATTAGCCGGGCATGATGGTGCATGCCTGTGGTCCCAGCTACTTGGGAGGCTGGGGTGGGAGGATCATTTTTGCCCCAGAAGTCCAGGCTGCAGTGAGCTATGAATGAACCATTGTGCTGCTCCAGTGTGGGTGACAGAGTGATACCCTGTTTCAAAAAAAATAAATAGGCCAGGCGTGGTGGCTCACACCTGTAATCCCAGCACTTTGGGAGGCCGAGGTGGGCAGATCACCTGAGGTCAGAAGTTCGAGACCAGTTTGGCCAATACGGTTAGACCCATCACTATAAAAAATACTAAAATTAGCCGGGTGTGATGGTGCACTCCTGTAATCACAGCTGCTCGAGAGGCTGAGACAGAAGAATTGCTTGAACCCAGGAGGCGAGGTTACAGTGAGCCGAGATCCTGCTATTGCACTCCAGCCTGGGCAACAGAGAGAGACTCCGTCTCAATCAATCAATCAATCAATCAATCAATCGATAGAATGTCCAAAGAACTCTCAACCTTTTAAAAAAATGCAATAGAGTACAAAATATTCTACGGCTATTATGTAGCCCTTCCTTGCCCTCTTCCTATAACTACTGTTTGACACACATTTATTTAAGGAAACCAATATTAATAGCAAGTATTATCTCTATCATAAAGGAACGTTTTCCTAGATTTACACATATAAACCACGGCGTAGATGAGAAACTCATTTAGCATGGGTGACTAAGAAACGGATTAACAGGCAGAGAAGGCACTGTGCGATAAGAGGTACAACTGATTTTCACATCTAGATTCTAATTTCATTTCATTGATTTGTGGTTATATCTTTATCTAGTAGGGTGTTTCTGACAATGTTGAGAAAGTTAATAGGACATTATATTTTACGGAAATATTTCTCCTAAGTTACTTTTCTTTTTTCTTTTTTTTTTTTTTTTTGAGACAGAGTCTCACTCTGTTACCCAGGCTGGAGTGCAATAGCCGGATCTCAGCTCACTGCAAGCTCCGCCTCTCGGGTTCACGCCATTCTCCTGCCTCAGCCTCCCGAGCAGCTGGGACTACAGGCGCCCGCCACCTTGCCTGGCTAATTTTTTGTATTTTTTAGTAGAGACGGGGTTTCACCGTGTTAGCCAAGATGGTCTCGATCTCCTGACCTCGTGATTCGCCCGTCTCGGCCTCCCAAAGTGCTAGGATTACAGGCTTGAGCCACCACGTCCGGCCCTAAGTTACTTTTCTAGAAAACATCTATTCCATCCATAGAGGACGCAAGTAGAATTCCAAAACATACACACTGCTCCCTGAAGATACCTGCAGGCAACCTAGGATGTTGCAATACCACAACTGCACAGCACTAGCCTAATTAGGAGGTAGAGAAACATTGTCTATATGCTATTAAAAGATATTTTATCTACTGCTATACTGAGAAATAAGGCCAGTACTAACTCCTAAGTTAATGTCGTATAAAAATCTAGAAGAGTTATTTGACTCTTGTCACTAATGCTAAACAACTCATAATGAACACCTAATGTAACATTGAACTGTACACCTTAAACTGATTTAAATGTGGGCGTGGTGGCTCACGCCTGTAATCCCAGCACTTTGGCAGGCTGAGGCAGGTGGATCACCCGAGGTCAGGAGTTTGAGACCAGCCTGGCCAACATGGCAAAACCTCATCTCTACTACTAATAAAAAATTAGCCAGAGGTGGTGGCCCATACCTATAATCCCAGCTACTTGGGAGGCTGACGCACAAGAATTGCTTGAACCTGGGAGGTAGAGGTTGCAGTGAGCCAAGAATGCGCCACTGCACTCCAGCCTGGGGGACAGAGTGAAACTGTGTCTCAAAAAAAAAAAAAAAATTAAAAATAAATAAATAAATAAATTGATTGAAAGGGTAAATTTTGTTACATATATTTTACCACAAATTCTTAAAAAGTGAGGTAAGCTCTCCTCTGAATCTTGTTGGTTTCCCATTTAAAAAAAAAAAAAAAAAAGCCAATTAGACTACATTAAAAAACATGAACCCATTAAATTGAACATGTTTAACTTTTACATAGTTGAAAATTTTTAGTAATTTCAATTAATAGAAGCTTTCTGATGTCTTAACAGAGTGTTTATTAGATATCCTCCCTCCATCTCCAAGGAGGACATACACAAAGGAAAAAGGCTTAAATCGTAGCAAGGAAGGTTTAGTTTTAACATAATTCTAACTGGAAAGTAATTAAACATTATAATAAGGTATCATGCAAATCTCTGCATGTAGGGATACAAGAATAGGACAGATGACTATCTTAGAAGGGCTGGACGCAAATCTGCAGGAAAAGTTGGAATAAACTAGAGACCCTCTCTCTTTTTTTGAGATGGAGTCTCGCTCTGTGGCCCAGGCTGGAGTGCAGAGGCACGATCTCAGCTCACTGCAAGCTCCGCCTCCTGGGTTCACGCCATTCTCCTGCCTCAGCCTTCCGAGTAGCTGGGACTATAGGCGCCCACCACCACACCCGGCTAATTTTTTTAAATGTATTTTTAGTAGAGACGGGGTGTCACCGTGCTAGCCACGATGGTCTCAATCTCCTGACCTCATGATCCGCCCGCCTCGGCCTCCCAAAGTGCTGGGATTACAGGCATGAGCCACTGAGCCTGGCCTAAACTAGAGAATCTCTTAAGTCAGTTTCCAGTTTTAGAATTCCAAGTTCTGTATTCACAGCCCAATAGTATCTCTGAAAGACATTCCACCTATAGAACACTGCAGATATTAATCTACAAGTCATTTCAATTTGGTTTAGATATTGGGTTTACTTTCACCATACCATTTATTCACTTTACATACTCACTTAGGAACTGAAAATTGACTACTTTTGTTAACAGGCAATTGCATCAATCTCCAGCAGCATGGCTGCCAGCTCAGGTATAAATGCTACAAACATGCTCAACTGAAAACAATATTTGGTTCTAAATTTAACAAACAGAAGCCAGGTGCAGTGGCCCACGCCTATAATCCCAGCCAAGGTGGGTGGATCATTTGAGGTCAGGAGTTCGAGACCAGCTTGGCCAAACATGGTGAAACCCCATCTGTACTAAAACTACAAAAATTAGCCAGTTGTGGTGGTGGGTGCCCATAGTCCCAGCTACTCGGGAGGCTGAAACAGGAGAATCGGTTGCATTGAGCCAATATGGTGCCACTGCACTCCAGCCTGGGCGACAGAGCAAGACTCCGTCTAGAAAAGAAAAGAAAAGAAAAGAAAAGAAAAGAAAAAAGAAAAGAAATATCTACACAATGTTGTCAACCTAAGACCAAAAAAAAAAAAATGTGTTAACAAGGTAGAAGACCTACAAGGCCAAAACATTCCATTTAGTCAGTTTTTCAACAATGACAAAATTCTTACTTTTCATCACAAGAGCATAACCTTTCCAACTCAGGTTTTATTTTTATTTTATTTTTGAGACAGGGTCTCTCTCTGTTACCCGGGCAGGAGTACAGCGGCACAATCACGGCTCACTGCACCCTTCACCTCCCAGGCTCAACTGATCCTCCCACCTCAGCCTCCCACTTGTCTTGGACTACAGGTGAGCGCCACCCTGAGCAGCTAATTTTTTTATTTTTGTAGAGATTGAGGTCTCACTATCTTGCCCATGCTGGTCTCAAACTCCTGGGTTCAAGCAATCCTACTGCCTTGGTCTCCCAAAGTGCTGGGATTATAGGAGTGAGCTACTGCACTCAGGTTTAATTTTAGAAGACTGAGGGTCTTCGCTTTTCAACAATGATTTTTAATTTACCACATTATTTTTTAATAGACATCAGACAACTGAATGGTATTTATTACAACCCAAAGCAGGAACTTATGAAGTCACAGTAAGATTAATCATCTTCAATTCAACAGGTTAATCACGACAGCAAGCTGAGAGATTTTTTGTCAACTTGTATTAGGACTATGTCAACAGTTGCCCAGTTAGAAATTAAATGATGCTTAAAACAACACATGTCTAGACTTTAGATTTCTACTTGAGCAACACATACAAATACTGTGATATGTGCATGCATGCACACTATGTGTATATATATTTACCTAGATTTTATTAATTATGATGGATGTTTGAAAAAAAAATCTTGGCTGGACACAGTGGCTCACGTCTATAATTCCAACACTTTGGGAGACTAAGGCAGGACTGAGCCCAAGAGTTCCAGACTAGGTCTGGCAACACAGTGCAACCCATCTCTAAAGAAATTTTTAAATTGATCCTTTTGCAATTCGTATGTGTGATGATTGGGTGGTTTACATGCATGCGTGACATGTGCCAACCTTGAATCCTGTTACATAACACGCGCACATTACTCATCTGACATGAGAAAAAGGAAAAAAATTAAATTAAATAAAAAGTAAAAAAATAAAAAAATTAGCCAGTCATGGTGGCACGCATCTGTAGTCCCAGCTACTCAAGAGGCTGAGGCGGGAGGATTGCTCGAGTCTGGGAGGCTGTAGTGAGCCATGGTTGTGCCACTGCACTTCAGCCCGGGCGACAGAATAAGACCCTGTCTCAAAAAATAAAATACAAAACTGTCAAGATGAATTAGGTAAACACAGGAATCAAAAAACACAGTATTAGATTATGGCGCTATCTTTCATAAGAAAGAAAAAAATGAAAAGCCTTCCTGCTTTTAGTTCACAAGTGATTTTTCATTTTATAATCAAAGAAAATAAAGAACATGCCTTATACAGCCAAAAAATAAGGTAATGTGACTTAAAGTTGAATTATCACTTAACTGCATGGATTTCTAAGCTACTGACTTCCAACTTCTCAATTTCTCTAAAGCCAGAACACTTTTTTTTTTTCTTTCCCCCAGACAGAGTCTTATCCTGCCACCCAGGCTGAAGGGCAGTGGCATGATCACGGTTCACTGCAGCCTCGATCTCCTGGGCTCAGGTATCTTCCTACCTCAGGCTCCCAGATAGCTGGGACTACAGGCATGCACCACGACACCTGGCCCAGAACACATTTTCTTAACAGCTCACTCCTTTGCTTATATATGTAACTTGTTTTTATACAGAAATAACATGTCATCAACATATATGCTACTCCATGGCTTTGAACTTAAGTTTTTCGTGTAAAAACTCAAATACAACTTTTATAGTCCAACTATATATATATATATGTATATACATACACATTTTTTTTTTTTTTGAGACAGCATCTCACCACTCTGTCACCCAGTCTAGAGTGCAACGGTGCGATTTCAGCTCACAGCAGCCTCGACTTCCCAGGGTGATCCTCCCACCTCAGCCTCCCAAGTAGCTGGGACTACAGGCGCACACCATTATGTCCGGTTCATTTTGCTGTATTTTTTGTAGAGAGAGGATCTCACTATGTCACCCAGGCTAGTCTCGAACTCCTAGACTCAAGTGATCCTCCTGCCTCAGCCAGCCTCCCAAAGTGCTGGGATTATAGGCGTGCAGCCTTTTAAGTTTTTTTTTTCTTATCCACACTGGGCCTCACCTATTCACTTTCCACAACACCTAAGAAAAATCTTAGACGTTAAATACATACCTCAAACATATAAAATTCATTACACTGCTTTTGTAGCCATAATAATTACACTAATAAAGACTGACCCTAAAGAACTTAAAACTTATTAGGGCAGTGTTTAAATAGTCCAATTCACAAGGGGTTGGGAGAAATAATGATCCTCTCCTACCAAACTAGCAGCAACAATATGCCAAGTTTCCTATGCTGAACTAGTGTAAACAAGGAAGAAAAAGAGCCGGAGGTGGGAAGCAGTCAGGCAAGAGAACAACTCTCTTCAAGATATAACTTTACTTCTAAATTTCACCAGAGTAATAGCTCTTCTCAGTGTGTTCAATAACCCATGTCTCTCTGACTAAACACCTCAGGTTAGCTGTCAGAAAACTACAGTAGGCTATATTCCCTGCCTGAGATCATCAGATGTAACAGATACAAATGGAGATTACAAACGATTAATTCTAAAGGCTGTCTCCTGCATCCAGTCAAAGAGTTTTCCAAACATCTAGAAATTTAAACCTGCTCTTGCTGTAATAATCGACCTTAAAGATAAAATAGTAAGACCCATCAAAGATGATACACAGGGGAAAAAAAAAAAAAAAAAAATTGGCTCACACATGTTCCCAGCACTTTGGGAGGCAAAGGCAGGTGGGTCACCTGAGGTCAGTTCAAGATCTGCCTGACCAATATGGTGAAACTCCATCTCTACTAAAAATACAAAAAAATTAGCCAGGCGAGGTGGTGTGCGCCTGTAGTCCCAGCTGCTGGGGAGGCTGAGACAGGAGAATTGCTTGAACCTGGGAAGCAGAGGTTGCAGTGAATCGAGGTTGCGTCACTGCACTCCAGCCTGAGCGACAGAGCGAGACTCCGTCTAAAAAAAAAAAAAAAAAAAAATTTACACATCACCTTTGGTGCAGCCACGGCTACAAGGCTCCTACTAACAGATGAGCATCATCCAGGGTAGGACTAGGTTAGGAGTGGGACAAAAAGTAGGTTTACAGCCTCTTTTCCATCATTGCTCGAGGCATTCAGGGTACAAGGAATAAAAGAGAGGTTGGTTGTGCAAGTGATGCCAAAAGAAACAAGATTCCACATGTCAGGAGACTGAATGCCCAACAGAGCAAAGGGCACTGAACCTTTTGCCTTTTGCCCAAAGACATATTAGTTGTTTCACCTGAAATCCTTTCAAAGAAAGTCTAATCGTCTCCGCTCCAACTCTGCCTCTGAGTGAATCCAACAACCTCTATTCAGAGTACAAGGGGAAGCCTTGCTTGTCAATAACAGCAAGTGCTACTTCCAAAGCCAAGAAACACTCCTTTACGTCGGATAGTCTTCTGCCCCAATTCAGTCTTCTACAAGGTGAACACAAAAACACTTGGCTCCCAGCCTAAGTTCTCCATTTTCCCAAACATCTGTCAACTTAGTTTTCTTTCAGATAAGCCCCTCTCCATTCCCAGCATTCTGGTGGCCCCAGATGAACCCTCTGCCAGGAGTCCTGTCCCTTCAGAAAGTTCCTTTCCCCAAGATCATCTCATTTCCCCCACTTTTCCTAAGGTGGTTCCCAGGCCCCGTCCCAAGTCTAACACTCCCAGTCCTCCATGTGTCGATTTACTAGTAGATCCTACTCCTCCCTGGCATAACTCTTAAGAAAGTCATCTTCCTCACCATACCCCCTTGTCTTCCCTCATAATATCACCCCCTTTTCCCTATCTATCCTCAACTGGAAAGAGACAGACACACAAATTAATCTGTTCTCAGCTCCTAACTCCCAAGCCTCTCCAGTGCTCAGGTTGCTCCACAGCACCTAATCCTTCCCTATAGTTTCCGCCCAATCCTGGCATCCTCAGCCCCTCACTCCAAACCCCAACCTTTTTCCCCACTCCCCAAATCCAAATCTCCTGTGCTTTTTACTCTTAGCCAATACCATAACCCTTTTCCTCCCAAGTCTACCCACTATGCCTGAATGCCTAAGTCTTTTCCTCACATCTCACGTCCTTTGGCCCTTGGCCCCTAATCCTCGAAAAACCTCAGGAGCTGCCCACATCATCTCCCTTCCGCCCCTTCTGCCTCCGTGGCCCCTAACTCTCCTCTAGCCCTGCTCAGCCCTCAAATTCTTCCTATGCCCCCGGTGCTCCCCCACTTGTCCTACCTGTCCCGGGAAGGGGGTGGCCCTCAGTACCCGCCTGGCTCGCCCTGCCGCCGAGCTCGAGAGTCCCTTCCCTTCCCCTAGGGGCCCCGAGGCCGCTGCCAGCGCTGGCACGGCGGGGCCGGCTCACCAGTTGGTCATGTCCAGGAAGAAGGCGCAACCGGCAGGATTGAGCTGGAAGCCGAGCAGCCTCTGGAACTCGGAGATGAGCACGTCCTTGTCGGTGGTGCCCAGGCAGCTGAACTTCTGCATCAGCTCCGGATCCAGGTCCACGTCCATGCCCTCCATGGCGGGGCCCGGACACCCGCTTCCCCGCCTCCTCACAACCGAGCCGCCGCCGCGCCGCCGGGCCCGGGGACCGGGAGGGGGCCCGCTGCTAGCTAGCGTCGTGACCCCGCTCCTTTGAGGTAGGCCCCGGGCCTCTCACAGTCTCATAGGGGTAAACTCACTCTGCCACTCACTCACTCTCCCCCCCCTCCCACCCCCCCCAGCTCCGCCGCCTCCGCCGCCTCTCGCCTCTCGCCACTCCGCCGCCTCCGCCTCCTCCCGCGCCGCGCCCACTGCGCAAGCGTCGCCAGCCTAGGCCCCGCCCCTTCCTCTCCCGGAGGCCCGTCCCTTAGTGTCGTCACAAACTCGTGACGTCCCCGCGTGACCTCACCGGGGCGGGGCGAGGGGGCGAAAAGTAGGAAGGAGGAAAGAGATGGTCCAGCCGTGTGCGGGAGTTTCTGTCCAGACCATTACTCCGCCCCGTCCCCACCTTCAAGGAGAGCTGTTAAAGCCTGGGGCTGCGGGAGAAGTTCAGGGATTTTCGTTTATGACAACTCTACCATTTTGCAGGTGAGAAAACTGAAGTCACGGGAGAGGGAGACAGTGGCAAGGTCAAGTAGCAAAGTGCACTCACGACTCAACCCTCCCAGCCAGGAGTCTGCCACTCACGCTTGAAGGACGGGTTTGAAGAGCCGCTTTCCCAGAGGGATGCTGCCTTAAAGCCTTGGTTCCCGGGCACTCTTTGCTATTACTACCGTTTATCGGTTCTGTTTGTGTTATGCAACGGTAGCATCGTGTCTCCGGAAAATAAAAAAGGTCTCGATACAAACATCTATCACAGGTCTAAAAGAACACCACACATAACCTTCCACCCACTCTGTCAGGAACAACCCTATCAAAATAAAGTCATGAGAATTTAGCATGCCTTGTTCTATATTTAAAATAGAAGACAAAGTATTTCTGTATATACTGTACACCTTCCCGGTCAAGGTCTGTCAAAGAATGAGAAAGGAAGTAAAGAGACTGTCTTGTCTGCCCTCTTCTGTTAGGAAATGTTTTTGAAACACTGCGAATTGCCCAGCACTGCTAGATCCAAGGCGGGGAGGGGTGGGGGGGATGAGTGAGAAATGGTCTTCTGCAGGGAAGTAAGCTTACGTGCGTTGTCCAGAAATACAGAGCAGCAAAACTAGAACCCAGATTTGTAGTTCCTTATGAAGTGTGTTTTCCACAATTTCAAAAACAGCTGGAATAAGTAGTAATGTGTCGGGGGCCAGGATGTTTTGGAAAGGGAACCCATTCCTCTGTCCCACTACCAAAAGAGAGTAAACTACAGTGACTTTTTAAGGTTCTGGAGCCATGCATATTTGGGACTCAGAGATGAACATGTTTTGTCCTAATCTTTTGGATGGTGCAA